GAGGAGGAGGAGGAGGAGAAAGGAGGAGGACAAGAAGGAGAGAAGAAGACGAAGGGAGGGGGAGGAGGAGGAGGAGGAGAGAAGAAGAAGGGAGGGGGGGGAGGAGAGAGATGAGGAGGAGGAGAAGGAGGAGGAGGAGGAGGAGGAGAGAAAAAGATGAAAGGAGGAGGAGGAGGCGGACCTGCCGATTTTGAGTTGCGTTGACGGGAAAAAAAACCAAAAAAAAAAAAGATGACGAAGGAGGAGGAAGAGGAGGAGGAGGAGGAGGAGAAAGGAGGAGGAGAAAGGAGGAGGAACTTTGGCTGACACGTGGCACGTGGCACTTCGACTGATAAAGAAAACTAACGAGGAGGAGGAGGAGGAGGAGAAAGGAGGAGGATAAAAGAAGACGAAGGGAGGAGGAGGAGGAGGAGGAGAAGGATCTGCTGGTTTCTTGATACGTCGACGAAAAAAAAAGAAAAAGAAAAGGATGACRAAGGASGAGGAGGAGGGGAGAGAGAGAGAGAGAGAGAGAGAGAGAGAGAAAGAGCTGACACGTGGCATTTCGCGCAACAGTACTGTATCGACGACGACGGACAGCGGCGGCGGCAGTGACGACGGGCACCTCGGCGATGACAGGCAGCGACAAGCGTCAACGGTGGGAGCACGACCTCGACGAAGGCGGGCAACGACGGGCGTCGACGGGGCGGGCAGCAACGGGCGTCGACGGCGGGAGTAGGACGGGCGTCGACGGGGCGGGCAGCAACGGGCGTCGACGGCGGGAGTACTGCCTCAGTGCGTCTGCACTTCGACGACACTCCACTGGGCAGCGGCGGGAGCAGCTCGATGCTTCGAATTCGAAGCCGGCACGCGCCAGAAAATTTTGCGCGGGGGGGCGGGGAGGCTCCCAAGGCCTAGAAATGTCGAAACAGGCCTTCCCCCCCCCCCGTGCAAAAATGCGTTGGGCCCGCCCGGCATCGAACCGGGGGACTCAACCGACCGGGCCGCCCGGGAACCCTGCCGGACGGAGGCTGGGCCGCTGGGCCGCCCGAAATTTAACACAGCAAATAAGTGCTGACTGAAAAAAGGGAACCTGAATGGCACAACAACATGCCTGGCCCACCAAGATGGCCGTGGGCCTCCAGGTCGTGAGCAAGGAATGGGCGCACGGCCTGGGGCTCCCCAACAACCGTCGGGCCCCCAAAACGGGCCCTGTGTGGCGGGCTCAGCATGCAACACCTTTGTCTTATGTGCCTGTGCATCTGATAGCAGGCATTGAAAGAAATCCTCTTTTTGTGGGGGGAGGCAAGTACGTTCAAGTCACAATCGAGTTTCGAAATGGGCACAAAAAACACGTATCGCAAGCTCACTCCCTGACTGAGTTCGAAAAGGCATCTAAAGAGGCATGCCACTTTGTACTGTTACAAGCACAGGTGTCATATCTACAAGGGCGGGCCGTGGTGTGTGCATACAGCGTGCTTGAGTTCCAAAAACGACAAAAGAAAAATACAGTTATTTTTGCGCTTTTCACCTATTCCAAACTGGGGCCGTGAGAAAACATTTTAAAGCTGATTCTACAAGCGCAACCTGCGCTCGGATGTGATATTTTGTGTCTCATGTGGTGTGCCTCACTTTGTGTTGATGTGCGCTATAGCACTTGAATCTGTACTTGAACGTGATAAAACTGCTAGTGCCTGTTCTTTCTGCACATGTGAAACTAAAAATGTGACACAGACGCAGTTGTTTCTCATTTTTATCATAAGACATTGAAAGAATGCTACTCATGTAACGTGGAAATTCCTTCTCGGTCCCCCCCACCCGCAGGAAAAAGAAAAGAAAAAAACTCCTTTTCTTTTTGTTACGATCCTGGTCATTCCCAAAGTGCAAATTCACAATGAAAGACAATGCCACCCAATTGCGAAAGAAATGAAAGCACTTGCAACGAGATAGAGACTAGAGGAGAGAGAAAGAAGAAGAAGAAGAAGAAGAAGAAGACGAAGAAAAAGAAGAAGAAGTACACCAACAAGACCAATGATAATTCCCCCCTTCTCTCTCCACCTTCCTCCTCCTCCTTCACTTCACCAATCTTATTCTTCTCCCAATAATAATAATAACAATCGGTGGATGAACCAGAAACAACAACAACAACAACAAGTCCACCATAGCTATGGCTTCCCTCCTTCAGCCTCCTCTCACATGCATAGGTTATGGCGGACTACTGAGGGTCCTTCCCTCATGTCCAAAGGACAACCCAAAGCAGCTATGGCGCTGGGTCTTGCCCTCCTGTCCAAAGGACAACCCAAAGCAGCTATGGCGCTGCACTCCTGTCGAAAGGACAACCCAAAGCATCTATGCCGCTGCTGACTGATCCGCCATGCCAGACTCTGCCTCGAGCTTCCTTGATGCGGCATTACCCCAACTGGGGCCTTCCAGATGCAGTGCCCAACAAGGTGATGAAGATGGTATTCACCATAGCCAGGTAGGTGCCTCGCCACTCTCCTCCTTCGCCCCTTTCTTCCTCCTCCTCAGACTGGGCTGCTCGCCATAGCCAGGCTGAGCGCCAGCTCCCTTCACCTCCAGGCAGCGCTGTATCAGACCAGCACTGTGCTCCAGCAGCATGTCGCCAAT